GTGTGAGTGTGTGTGTGAGAGAGAGAGGGAGGGAGGGGGAGGGAGAGAGAGAGAGGGAGGGAGAAAAGGGTCTGGGGAATCTCAAAGGCATATCTTCTAGGTACAGTCTAGGAGGGGAACTGGCAAATCAGTGAAGAGTGGGGTCAAGTTTTCCCAGGAGAGAGCATACTAGTGGATATAACTAATAAGCCAAGCAGTTAAAAAAAAGGCTTTGATCTAGGCAGTGATTAAGACAAAGGACATACAATGCTCTGAGTTTACATTAGGAGGGAGGAATAGTTAACAGAAATGTGCAAGCTCCGTGTGTTCAGAATGTACTGCTTTAACCCCAGAATCGGGTACTTTTATTCCAGTTCTTTTGCAAATGTGGAAACCAAGGCCCAAGAGCTGACAGGCCCATCCTTCCCTAGAAGCTCTCGCCAGGCTCCCTTGTTGACTTGAGGTAGCCCATCCGCAGGGGCTATCAAGTGTCCAGACCTACCTTTAGAGCCTGTGGGGGAGGAAATTTTTCGGGGTCTGGCCCGAATGTCATAGATGATGGGGTACTGGAACCAGGGGATCCTATTGGAGAAGGAACAGGGATAGGCATTAGGAGACTGCAGTTTCACTAGTTTTGCCAACTTTTCTCTCATCACGTGTTTCTTGGCCCACTCCTCCTAATGACCACGTACAAGGAGAAATTCTCTTCTTCCTTGAGAGAACAAGTTTATGTGCTGCTAGAATTATGGGCAGCACTCACTTTCCTGGGAGATGGGGTGAGGAGGGGAAAGGGCAGAGCTAAATCCTGTTGATAGTTCTACTACAGCCATTGGTGTTCAAGGGTGAAGGGTCAGGGTCAGTCCGCTCTGCTCGCCATTACCTGAAATGAAGGCCCTCGGCGAGAATGGTGTCCTGCTGCACGCCACCGATTCGATTAAAGAAGATGGCTCTGTGCCCGCCTTCAACTGTGGGAGAAGGGTGGGGATCAGGCCAGGTCACTGCTCTGAGTATGTGCTAGCCCCTGGTGGGGTGGGACGAGCCGCTAAGCAAGCACGAGGGCCCGGCGGGACAGGGTAGGAATTCTGGGGAGGAACAGGAGTCCAGAGAACGGGCAGAGGTTGCTCACCGGTAAATACGGACTCGCGGACCCCGTAGGCCACGGCGCCGGCCCCCAGCAGCAGCTTCAGCGCGGTGCCCATGCCCCGGGGCCCGGAGGGCAGTCGTCCTGCTAAGTCTTTCAAGTTCTGGGCCATGTTCAATACTGAGGCCGGCGGCACCAAAGATCAGGAGGGGGTGCCGGCCTCCCTCTACCCCACTCCAGTTTAGAAATCGCACCCTTCACACGAGGATCCGAGCCCCAGGAGCTCGCGGGAGAAAGGGCACCGGAAGTGTGCTCCCTTCTAAACTCTCCCCACCCAAGGCAAACCCGAACATCGCGCACAGGAAGTACGCGTTCGAACGTCCCGCCCCTTTCTGAAACCCTGCCCTCCCAGACAGGCTCCGGTAGTGCGGAACAGCAAGCCATCGCCATTTCCAAGCGCCCACTTTCAAAATGGTAGCCGGAAGGACGTTTGCGATTAGGGCGTGCGCGAGATTTTAATTTAAGGATATTAACATGATTTCCGGTCCGGCTGCAAGATGGCTGCGCCCAGTGGTGGATTTAAACCTCGTGAGCGTTGCAGTGGGGAACAAGAACAGGACTGGGATGCCGTGGCACCCAAGCGGCCCCGACTTGGGGCGGGAAGCAAGATGGGAGGCCGTAGGCTTATTGTGGTGCTGGAAGGGGCCAGTCTGGAAACAGTCAAGGTAATGTGGGACAAAGAAGTGCAGATCTCGTATGTCGATAGGATGGGACCCCTTGTGATGAGGGTGAGGGGCTTAAAGTGGATGGAGAAACCAGGGAGGTGAAATATGCTTTTGGAGGAAGAGTGGCCTAGTTGACTGTCTCTTGGTTTAACACCCGGGATTGGCAGTACTCATTTTTTTGCTTTTCTTGAAACCCATTGCAGCCATCACGTCTTTACTTCCAGTTAGTGTACTAGAATTCTGTGATATAAAGTCATCTAAGGGGAGGGGAGTTTCGTCCACCGTGGTGTCCCACGTCATCCCCGACAAGTTACTGGGAAGGGAGAAAGGTAGTTACTATGGCTTATTCTGCCCATCCTTTTATTCGTAAGGATTTATTTAAAAGGTGTTTACTGTGACTCTCCTCTATATTACTGCCCACTTCGAAACACTGGATCAGGTTATTTAATATTTTAAATCTTTATTTTTACCAATCATTCGGCTCTTTCCTCGAATAATCCAGTAATTTCCTGTCTTAAAACTTCGTGCTGTCTCATTCCTTCTGACTTTCTCTTACCGTTTAGAGCTAAATTTGTTCAGTGAGTAGGCCCAGAAGAAATAGCACTGGTTTAGAAGTCAGGCTTAGATTTTACTCTTGGACTTTATACTTATTTTAAGTGTGTGATCTTGAAAAAACAAGTTTTCTTCAGTTCGTAAAGTGAAAGTTAATACTTTACAGGGGGAATGTAATGAAAGTGCTTAAAAGGTAGTACATAGTAAAATTCCATAGTAAAATACGGTGTGATTGTTTCTGTCTTTCTTTCCTCAACCACTATGGCACTTTATTAAGCTTGCAATCTAGAAAGGTCTTTTTTTTTCTTTTCAGTGACTAGCTAATCAGGTTTATCCTTTCATTTTCTTCTGTAATTGACATTTCTAACCTAATTTTAGGTTCTTACATTCATCCTTCACTTAATTGCCTATCTTTCCAGTCTATTAATAATGAATGTTACTTAACCACTTCGTTTCTTCCTGTGTTCCCTGGGGATAATAGTAGTACCTACCCTGTTGGATTTTTGGGAAGATTAAAGGAGTTAAGTGTAAAGGGTTTAGAATAATGTCTGTCACTTGGGACTAGTTATTATTATTGTTACTGATTCCATATTACCTATTAAGAAGTTGAAAAGGTCATGGCCAAGTTAAACTTGCTAGAACATGCTCTGGAAGAATTTAGGCCAGGTTGTCATTAATGGTAATCCAAGGGTGATAGAATTCATAGCTGTTGGAAATCTTCTGTACTGTTACCTTGTGCCATCCTTGTGCCTGGTACCTTTTGCTTCTGCCAGTCTCTCTTGGATCTGCTCTCTTCATTTATTCTTTTTACTCCAGCCTCTGGCTTTCTTTAAGCTCTTTGAAGGCACTAAATTCTCTTGTACCTTAAGGCCATTGCACATGATGTTCTCTAACTGGAAGCTCCCTTTACTCAGCTCTTTGTTTCATCCTTGTTGTTTATTTAACAATTATTGAGTCTATTAGGTTAAATGTTACTTCCTCATAGAGGTGACTCCTTTCCTGGTTTAAATTAGATCCTCCTGTTATAATCTTTTAATGAACCATTTACTTTTCCTTTGTAATGTTTATCATAATTTGAGTTAAATACTCATGTTTGTTTACCATTTGTCTCTTCCACTAGAAGGCTTTGAGGGCAGAGAATAAGGTTTTAAAAATTCTTCCTTGTATCTCCAATAGCTATTGTAGAAAATGAATACACATAGTATTCATTCTGATTATTTCAATTTGTGGTTTTCAAGCTTATTAACCACAACCCACCAATAAAATTTACATTGTGAGCCAGTAAACATACACACAACTGCATAAAACCAAGTTTCATGAACCATCACTTACCATTAGTACATGCGAAGTACTTTGATGTTTTCTAGTCTATTTCATTAAAAACCCTGGTTATAAATTACGAATGGGTTGAAACTGGATTTTTTTATTCAAGAGGTCCTTTTTCTATAACTAAGAGTATCCCATGGACTTAGTTCTTGGTCCTTTGTTCTTTCTCCGTGCTTACTCTTTGTGACATTCTTGTTATTTCAGTTGTTCAATCACTTTCAGTCTGCATGCCTTTCCCCCCAAACTTTTTGGAGTCATATATCTCAAATGTTGTCAGATAGAAATGTTCTATTGATATATAAAAACTTAGCCTTTCAAAACCTGTATTTGTACTTAATGGTATGTTTTTAGACTTTTTACTGACCGCCTTAATGCTCCTTACGACTCGAAATTGTAATTTGCAATTATTTCTTTTATTTGCTACAGATAGATTCGGCTAGAGCTTTAGTATCAAAATTCTACCTGGTATATTTTCCAGTATACAGAGTTGCCAGAATAATATTCCTCAGTCATTCTCATGCCCATGTTATTCCAGGATTATTCTGGCTTTGTGCTGGATACTTGAGGATTCTACAGTTTACAAAGCACTTTCGTATATAATCACTACCCTTTAGTGTCTTGATTGCCCTTTTCATCATTTTCTTTCTTCACATTTCTGCTATTTATTCCATTTGTACCTGTGCTCACATGTCTTAAAACTCGAAACAACCTCTCTTGTTTTACTTTTGAGAGTATTCCTTGATGAAACTCTCTCCTGCATTAGAATTTTCACATTTCTTCCCATTCAGATTTGCAGCTTTTCACTTAGTTCATATTTGTTATAAGCAATATGAGGGTAGTGACCATGTGTTTTTTGCCCAGTGCATACAGTGCTCCTGTGACAAGCTTTCAGCTTTGCTCATTAACCTTGCTCCTACCTGGTTCCAGAATCCCTCACCAGCTTTGCTTAATAGCCACAGGTTTTAAAACTAAATCCAGTTTAAATCATGTGAAATCACAGGTTGTACCTCCTTCCCTTTTCCCTCTAAGATCAGTTATGGTGGGAGGAGGTCAGGGTTGGGAGGGGGCAGTAAACGTGGCCATACAGTGACCCTTGAAGGGCTTGCTGGGCCCCACCCCCATAGCTTCTGATTCAGTAGCTCTAGAGTCTGAGAATTCAACTAAAAAGTTTTTAGTTGCTGCTGCTGCTGCTGGTTTAGGGACCACACTTTGGGAACCAGTGGGATAGGTAAAAGCAGCTTATATTGTTCTCTGTCATGTTTGTCTTCAGGTAGGGAAGACATATGAGCTACTAAACTGTGACAAGCACAAATCTATGCTGTTGAAGAATGGACGGGATCCTGGGGAAGTAAGACCAGACATAGCTCACCAGGTAACTCCAGAGACAGAGCTCACAACTCCTTGAGCTGTTATGTGGAAGGTAAAGCAGCTGCCTGCTACTTCTTTTCAGTCTTAACTGTGCCTTGGTGTCTGCCTCCCTCAGAGTTTATTGATGCTGATGGACAGTCCCTTGAATCGAGCTGGTTTGCTGCAGGTTTATATCCACACACAGAAGAATGTGCTGATTGAAGTGAACCCCCAGACTCGAATTCCCAGGACCTTTGACCGCTTTTGTGGCCTCATGGGTGAGAATCTTTGACTTGCAGTTGAGAATGAACTGGGCAGGAGAGAAGGGAGGAGAGGGAACACGATTGATCTCAGAACAAGGACTGATTACTGTCCATGTGCAGGGGTAAAGCCTGTATGGGTTCCTGGTTGAAAGAGTAATAAACCCATCAGTACACAGCTAGGCATGTGCTCGACAACTGCTTGTTCTTAACATTTTAGAAGTACAGTGTGGATGTATCGGACGTGTGGAGGAGCCCACCTCACCTGTGGGTTTTTCTGGTTAGATTACTGGGTAGAAGTGGGTTCTCTGCCTACCTCTGAACTTTTTTTTTCTGCCCTAGTTCAGCTTTTACACAAACTCAGTGTTCGAGCAGCTGATGGCCCCCAGAAGCTCTTGAAGGTGAAGTATTGACACCTACTGGTTGGAGGCAGGGTTCTGAGAATGTTTCTGGGGCTCATTTTTCTCTTTTTCTTTAGGTAATTAAGAATCCAGTGTCAGATCACTTCCCAGTTGGGTGTATGAAAATTGGCACTTCTTTTTCCATCCCAGCTGTTAGTGATGTGCGAGAGTTGGTACCTAGCGGCGACCCTATTGTTTTTGTGGTGGGGGCCTTTGCCCATGGCAAGGTAAGGTCTGGGCTCAACTCTTAAATTCTTCATAGAGCTGAAGCTTAGTATGGAATTCTGAGAGCAGTTAGCATTTTGACAGTCCTGTCCATATAAGTTGGGAAATAGAGGGTAAGAACAAAGCTGGAAGACAAACGGGGGTTCCATAGCCTGCCTTAGGGAGCACCCTTTGAGGACTGCTGGCATTGATCCTTTGTATAAATTTGATATTAAACAGCACTGTGAAATATTAGCTCAGCCCAATTTTCCTGCCCTAAAGGGACTTAACCTGTTACAGAGTGGTGGAGTTAGCTGACACAACTGTTCTTTCTTCAGGTCAGTGTGGAGTATACAGAGAAGATGGTGTCCATCAGCAACTATCCTCTTTCTGCTGCCCTCACCTGTGCAAAACTTACCACAGCCTTTGAAGAAGTATGGAGGGTCATTTGACAGTAGGCCTTACTCTGAGACAGAGACTGTTGACATTGTATCCCTTGACCCTGTTTTCAACTCACTGTTAGAAGATGACTTTTCTGCATCAAGACTGTGTGGTTTGCGGAAGCCAAGGCTGTACATTTGCTATCTGTTTATCCTATAAATAGTTCTTGTCAACCTGGTTGTTCTTTGGGGATTCCTAAACTTTGTATGTAATGGTGTAAACCATTTGTTCTCAGATTTCAGGAAAAGATGTTTGCAGTTTGGTTCCAGGTTTTGAAGGTGGGCTTTAGCTCCAAACTTTTGCAGTTACTGTACTCTAAAAGATAGCCCTGATTATTGAAGCCATGGCAAACATGAATTGTGTTTAACAGAAAGCAGCCAGGAATGCTAGCAGTGAAAAACTGAACAAACAAGTGATTTTATCTGGTACAGTTCCAAGGTAGAAAAAGTGGAGCAGGCAGGGCCTTGTACCCCCTTCCCCCATGGGGGGCGGTGGTGGTAGCGGCACATATACAATCATAGTAAATTGGCAGAAGAAAAACAACAGATTCCTGGGTAGAGGGGAAGAGATAAGGCAACGTGCATGGGGGAGCCCAGAGGGGAGACATGGGTCCCTCTACTCCTCCCACAAGAGTGTCCCCTTTGGCCCAAATGAAGACTTGGCTGGCAGTAGAGGCACAGCTGGGAGTGCCATGTCTTTCCACTCCCTGGCTTTTATGTTTTCTGTGCTCTGGGGTGAAGAAGTGCTGTAAAAGGGGAGACAAGTCATTTCTGCACCAGTCTTGCTCTAGGCCACCTACAAGAAAAGAAATTTGATAGGAAGGCTGGTCAGTTACTTCTCCTGCCTTAATCTATTTGTCCCATGTGAAAAGGCAGAAGACTTCCTGGTCTTAGCCCTTCTAGCTTCTTCCTAGCATGCTAAGTTAGAGTAATCAGTACTTTTCCTCTATAAACCAGGCTACCTTGAGATTCACTCCAAATTCCCAACACTCTCCCCCTACCCCAAATCTGTTGCTTTATCCTGTAACCTAGTAGTTTCAGATTAGCTGTAGAGATGTTTACTTACTAGGGAAATAGATTATTCCATTTTCTTTAACTTCTCTTTCCTTGGCACCATTGCTTTGTAAAGATAAGGCAATATCAATAGTAGGCTCAAGAAGAAGATGTGGCCAAGAAAATAGATGGATTTATATACCTGCGGGGAGAGACAGGCCACTGAGGTAAACAGGCCATGGAATATAATATCCTTTATTACTCGAGGTTTTAGTAATTCCTTCCCATCCTTGCAAGCAGGCCTTTGCTTACCTTAATCCATTTGTCCCACGTGAAAAGGCAGAAAGCAGTCATTGAGTAACCCATGAAGAGCCAGTGGATGGTCTGCTGCACCAAATAGTAGAAGGGTTGTAGGACAGTAATGGAAGCCAAGTTGCTCAGGGTTGGGCTGTCCCGAATTAGCCTGGCAGCCTGAGGAGGAAGGGGAGAGCTACTCAGTGTCTTGCCCCGTCTCATTTTCTTTTTTCACCTACCACCCTTAAGGCCTACCTGTCTTTCCACGATAACAATGAGGAATTCCATCTGGAAGCAGATCAGGTATCCTGAGTGTAGGCCATGCCAGAAGGCCAAGAATAGCAACGAGAGACCCTGGGATAGTTCTTTATTTCCAAGGAACTTGAGTCGTTTGAAGATGTAACTAGAGAAAAGGGTGGGTAAGGATGAGCCTCAGACTAGTCCTTGCACTCCCATTATCCTGCCTATAGGTTCTCAGCTCCCTGGGGAGCGCAGTGGTGGTGGCTGGCTCCCACTTGGGGCTACCTGGTGTGAGGGATGCAGTGCCATCTGATTAGCTGTGGAAATGAAAGGCTGTGAAGTTGGCATCTCAGAGGCAGAAAATAGACCCAAGGCTAAATAAGCTGGGTGAACTTGGGCAAGCCACTTCATACAACAGATAAATGACCAGTGCATACTAAGTACCTGACAAAGTTGCAGTGAACAGGACAGACCAGTCCTCTACTCATGCTGTTTACACTTTAGTGGTGGGACTAATAACGAGTGTTTCTAAATAGGGCAATGGAGAACATAAAACCAGTGGCAGGACTGGGATTAAAATGTAGGACTTAAGGCACTTAACATATCTTGCTTTTGTTTTTCAAATATGACAGGAAGTTTTTGGGGGGATGGAGGGGTATGTGTAAGAATGACTGGAGGTTCTACCCAAAGTGAGAAAAGATGGAGAGAAGTGATATAATACACTCCTGCCCTCGAATCCGGAAAAGCGGCAGAAGGTGGGAGCTAGAGTCTAGGCCTTTCTTCCTGCTGCTTACCGGGCCACCCAGGCGTTGGTGTTGGTGTTGAAAGAGGCGATGGTGCCAGTGAAGCGGGGGTTCGTTTCAAAGAGCCACACCTTCATGTTAGCACAGGCATCCCACTTTGCCTTTCCGTTTTCATCAAAGTCGTTGAAGCCTAGCCCCGTCAAGATGCATACTCCCTCCTGAGGGTAGGACCCAGTCAGTCAGGGTTCTGGCCACTCCTCCTCATCCCTCCCCACCCCCTGCTTGTCTAAATATGACCCTGTTTCATTTTTTCTACTTACTGTGACCAGCCAACAGGTGACATATTTGTACAGTACAAACTTGCCCCAGATCAGCATGTACATGCAGCGGAACCAAAAAGAGTGGTTCTTGAGAAAAGAAAGAACACATGTATTAGGGATACCACCTAGGCTGGATGAATTTCCTTCATGGTTGACTACTTCGCATCTACCTGACAGCGTGCTTAATCGCCTCTATATAATACGCCAAGAGGAATAAGCAGGGAGCCCAGTGAACATCCATTCACCTCCTTTTCCTTGGAGAGTCCCAGAAAAAGCATTGTCCTTAACTTTTTCCCTAAAGGACTGAGCATCTGGGACACTATGTACCAAGGGACTTTTCGGTATCCATGCTCAGTGTTAATTTAAGGAGGCAACCTACCCAGAGTGGGTATGGAACTGTTGCAAGCCTTTCGGCTGGGCAGGCACAAAAGCCAGCACTTCCCCTTCCCTTGCATTTTGAATTTCCTTAGGAGCCCCCAATCTATCAAGAGAACAAACAGGCTGGAAAGGACCAGAAGCTGCTATGCTCCAAGGAGTCACTGGGCTGTAATACAGCAAGCTAAGAGCTGTTCTTGGGGAAGGTAAGGGGTGCTAAAAGTGCACCTGGCACAGCCCTGTGCCCGCGAAGGTCGTTCAGTGCTGGCTGATGAACATGTCTCGACCCGGCTGGCATTGACACCAACTCTCACAGATCTAGAGCAAAATCAACATGCGTTTGTAGATGGCATTACCCACTTCTTGGCTATCTACAGGGATCCTTGCCTGTCCATTTTCTATCTCGGATGCAGTCACACTGCTGCTGCTTTAGTAGCCACTCACTTCATAGTCTTCAGAGAGGAGATAGTTTTCTGTGATGTGCGGGCTCAGCAGGACGTGGCCCACCAGGTAGACAAGGCCAAGACTCAGGCGCTTGAGAGCAGGTATGGTGCTGGAAAGGAACATAAAAGGTCACAACACGCAGAGGCCAGTCCCTTCACCCTCTGACCTTCAATCATGGAGGGAGTGTTTTAGAGTGTGGCTACTCATCTGGGATGGGACGAATAGCTCTGCTGCCCAAGTCTATGCTCAGTTACTCTCAGGTAAAGACTTCTCTGTGGTTGGTATTGGAAATGGTGACTGCAAACTCCTGCGAGTTACAGGAAACGAAGGGCAGTGGCGCGGGGAACAGTGTGTCGAGTCTGTGGTGCTTCCCCTCAGGATACTACTGATCTCAAGGTCTCACCAGTGTCCTCAGTCTACTGGGACAGAAAACCCAATGCATAGGAGATGATACCAAGTTTGAATCCACTCCTTCCTATCTTGTTTGAACCGATGCTCAAACATAGGCTGGACATGTTCTCAGTGAAGGGATTTTTCTGGTAACTTAAATTTCCTGTCGTATATATTTATATACATTTCCATAGATTTAATCTATTTTTTTAAACTAAGAAAATGGCTATTAAAGGCAGGGACATGACTGGTTTAAGCAAAATCCTGTGGCATAAAAGTGAATTTTTATGTTTGTACTACGTGGTCAGAATAGATGGCTGGAAGCGACCTAAGCTGAAAAGCGCCCACTGCCTGCAGCGAGCAGGTGTGGAGTGCCTGTTAAGACAGTCCAGGGCCTGTGTGGCATGGGCCTGGGAGCCAGCGCCACACTGGAGAATGCAGCTGGGGCTGGCCTTCAGGAAAGTCACATCAGAAGTAGCTTTATAGTGGGTAAGACACCTACACAGAGGTCTTGACCAGGAGGGGCAATTACCTGTTTGGTATCTTCCCTGGTATGTCAGTCAGCTGTCCCTGCACCAGCTTCATGTAGTGGTTCATTGAGAACTGGGGCCCTACCAAGAAGGCCCCATAGAAGTAGGAGAAACCAGCAACTTCCAGCAGGGAAGGGACACCCCGTATGGCATTTTTCTGTTGCTCAGAGGACAAGGAATTCTATGCCGAGAAGAGAATGAATGGTTCAGGACAGCCTTGAATCTCCCCGCAAGAGCCAGTTTGCGTGTTCCCCTCCCTGGTGGCCCACTGAACTGGTTCTGCAAACAGCCATCTCTGAGGGGATGATAATGGAGAAAAGTAGTTGCTTCACTTGGAAACGAGTGTGTGTAGGGGTAGCTTAAGCAACAGTTGACTGCTGCTGCCTTTCCCAATGCCTTGCTGGCATTGATCTCTGGACTTTGTGCAAAAGCTGGATCTGGGCAAATTGGGTTTGCTGATCCTTACTCAATGCTATCTGATAGAGTTCACAGAGGTTGGGAACGAGGAAGAGGCTCTGCTCCTGGCATTCTGGTCCAGTCTTTTGGTAACAACTGTCTTTCTCCTTCCTTAACCTCTCTGTGGAGGAATCGTACTTACCTGTGCTCTCCCTCCGTCAAAGTAGTCAACAGCCAAACCTGAGCAGAGAGAGAAGGTGTGGCTAGAGTAGAGGGCGAGGACACTGAGGATGTGGCCTGTGGACTTGGGGTAGCCAGGAGTGTCGGGGGAGAGTGCAGAGTAAGTTAATGGTCAGATGGGGAGGAGCCTAGGTATAGTTGGGGAAGGAAGTGACCCATCACTCACCAATCAGCTTCAAGGTAAGAACACAATGTGGCATTGTCCACTT